CTATTGCTGGTCCTCTGCCCCAAACTCGTGCTGAAAACAAGTACATTTGTGTGGTGATGGATTATTTCACCAAGTGACCTGAGGCATATGCAATACCAAATTAGGAATCTACAACTGTAGCTTCAGCTAATAGTGATTTCTTCTTCAGATTTGGTATGCCATATGAACTGCATTCGGATCAAGGCCGTAACTTTGAATCAGCTGTGTTCCATGAATGCTGCAAGTTGTTTGGCATACGAAAGAACAAAACAATGCCACTTCACCCCCAGTCTGATTGGATGGTAGAAAAGTACAATTGGACGCTGGGACAGGAATTGGCAAAGTTTTGTAATAGCCGCCAAGATGACTGGGATGTCTTACTCCCTCCACTGTTGATGGCCTATAGAACAGCAGAGCATGAAACCACTGGATACACCCCAGCAAAGCTGATGTTTGGTTGGGAACTTCGGTTGCCAGTGGATCTGTTAACAGGACGCCCACCTTATGAAGAGTTTCCTAAAAATGTGTCAGAGTTTGTAAAAGTGTTATCGGAAAGGATAGATGATCATCACCATCAAGTGCATTCAAACTTGAAAACGTCTGCTGATTCCATGTAGCTATGTTATGATAAGAGATCTACTGAAGTCAGCTTTGGACTAGGAGACAAGGTGTTGTTGTATTATCCCAGGAAGACCAACGGGAAGTCTCCTAAGTTGTCTTCTCCATGGAAAGTCCATATGACATAGTGGATCGTCTCTCAGACGTGACCTTCCGAATAAAATGTAGTCGGCGAGGTAAGGCAAAGGTGGTGCATGCCAACAGGCTTTGGCGTTATCACGGTTTAGGACATTTCAGTTGGGACAAAGTAAACAATGGAACAAATGACGCTGCTGAAGACTTATCACCTGAAAAAGCCACTGTCAAAAAAGAAACTCTACCTGGTTTTGAGAAGGGAAACAGTGAAGCCCTTAATGAAGTTACTACCACTGATGTGACTATTATCGATAATAGGACATTTCCTGATGGAGCAGATGAACTTTACGTGAAGCAGAAGCCAATGAGATGGAGACCAGTACGGAAGAAGATACATCCTGTAAAATTAAGAGACTTTGCTGTATTTTAATTATGTGTTTGTAAATTCTGTCCATTTAATTAAGTTATTATTAATTATCTATTGGTTTAATGTAAGTGGCTATTGTTCGGGACGAACAAGAATAAGGAAGTTATGACGCTGTTAACACGTAATGAGTATCTAGAACGTTCGTGAAGGCTCGAGTGCTCTCCAGACGCCCTCTATTTTGTAGGAAGTGACGGCATAAATATAGTTGGATATAGACAGGGAGATAGAGACAGATAATAGAGTCAAGCTGTAAGTAAAGTGTGTAAATCGTGTTGAATTATAGCATGTGTTTAAGTTACTGTGGAAATAAAGTGTATTGCAAAGTTGAGAAAGAATAAACTAGTTTTATTTAAGAAAGGACTTGTATCGCTGAAATTTCTCGGAAAGAATTTCTACGGAAAATTAACAAACGAATGACCAGAGACGTAACAGTATTTTCAGATTTTGTTGGAGAACCTTGTAAATAAAATGTATTGTGTTTTGTCAACCGTCTTCTTTATTATTTTTGTACTTTATCTAAAATAATATTATTTAGGTAAATTGAAACTTTTACATGAAATTTATACTTGTAATATGAAAAACTCGTTGTGTTAACCTTATATAATTGCTATGTTATTGTGTGTAAAATGTTCGTGACAGGGAAAAAATACTTGTTTTTAAATTACCTGCCATCTAGTGATTGTAATACTTACATGTGATTGAATAAGGTGAAAATTTCATCTTTTTTGACTGTGAATTTCTGTGCTTATGTTAAATTAATTTCGCTAATTTAGAAAATTTGCAGCATACAATTATGTCCAAAACAAAGAACAATTTGTGTTTTGTTGAAAGAATATTTAGGAGAAGTCGATTAAAAAATTGGAGCATTTTTCATGAAGAAAGGTTCAATGCTCTTACAATTGCAGTGATTATTGATTCGAAGCTTCCACTTCCAAAAGGTAAGATGAAAATATTGGCCTTATTAGTTATATTGATGTTATATTCTGTGGTTTATTAAGAGTGACTGGAACTTTTAATAGTACTGTAGCTATTTGTTGTTGGTAATTTTGAAAAGGTTACCAAAAGTTTCATGCCATTCATTAAACAGTTCTGTTTACATCCAAACCATGTCCAATGTTTCTAACAAATACAGACTGCATTTATGTTTCTTATCTATTTATACTTATAGCATGGTCACTGAAACCCGAATATGACACTCGCAGGTCTTACGCTTAATTGTAACACAGAATATACATTTTTCTCTTATTGATGTAATATAAGCTATCTTATTATAATGGAGTTTGCGATTCAAAACCCGGATCTCGGAAACTACCGCACCGATCATTACCAATCTTAACTGGGTAATATTTTTATAACTAGTCAGTATTTTTATAGCTGAGCATTAAATAAGACAATTGAAATTTCCACAAAAATTATATGTTTCAAATTTAACCAATAAAAATTACAGAAAAGGAGTAAGTTGAAACAATCAAAAATAAACTTAAAAAAATATTTGTTTTTCTCGAGTGGAAATCTCATGAGTGTTGCAACAGAAAAGAAAGGCACATGCATTGATAACTGTGTTTACAAAGATATAACAGGGGGTGGTGGTGGTGATTGTAACTGTTTTTATTGTAGTATAGTGGATTGATAAGATAGTTTTGTTTGATAACCACTCAAAAAAAAAAAACTCCAATAAAGATTTAATACTTTGATAGTATATTTAAAAAAAAAGTTGATAAAATTTCACAATATTAACAGGTTTTAACTTTTTAAAGTTCAGTGTTTCATAAAAATAGTTATACTTTAATCTAAAAAATACCTATAAATTTTAAATTCAAAATTCCACCTAGCTCTGGACGTAGCCTAGCAATTGATATGTTTGAATAACATTTTTTTTATTAAAAAATGTTATTCATCTAAATAATTGTTTTCGACTATTTCTTTGCTAAGTTAAAATAAAATAAAGTGGTTATTGTTACTTGAAAAACAAATAAGTTAGTGAACAGGAGTAACTTGTTTTTTTCCAAAGGTTCAAAAATATTTTTAGGGCAGATAGGGATGTTCCTTTGTGTTATATTTTTTCCTACACCAATTCTCTAAGAAGTAATTCCAGAACTAAATTGTTCTATTTGCAATGATTTTGTTTTTCTTCACAAGTTGAAAATAGCCTAGGGATATACCCAAGACTGCTTATGTTCTTAGTACTTGGACATAGTCTGGCAAGGTTTGGTGAGGCTCCAGATTTATTTGAGACAGGGTTTTAGTGGAACCTGACATAGCAGTAGATGTAACTTTAATACTTTTCCAAACAGTGTTCATCTCAGGCCTCAGCTTTTGATTAAGTAAGCTCTCTTGTATTTGGTTGTTCTGTTCATCATTGTGTTAAGATATTAAACAACAAAGGCACATCTCTTATGGCATGTTCCAGTACACATGACTTAATGGGGGATCTTAAGTTGGCATGTTCTTCATGTTAAATGTTTTATTTTAGTATGACCAATGTATCTTTACAGAGAGCAATAAAAATTCAATTTATAAACTTCATATGATGATTTTAAAGTCAGAATCTAGTCCTTAAATCTAAAGAAAAACTGTAGGTGATATACAAATTGAAATACAAGCCTGTAAATGTTTTCTTACAATATATTTGACATTCAAATTGACCATTGTTATTACAAACTAAAGTATCAAAATAAAGAAAGTTTATGATCCTGGTAATGTTCCACAGTGAACTTCATGCTACTACACCTGCTTTACAAATAGTAAAGAAATATAGAAAAAGAGTTCTTGAATATGATGAAGGTTTCATTTCAACAACATATCTTCAATAATACAGTTATTTAAATTGTCTGTCACAATTTACTAGTAATTGACTTTCATGAAAACACCTTTATCTTCTCAGAGCATTCCTTAAAACTTTTGCAGACTGTACTGAGACTTGTTCAGGTGTTTGATAAAAGAGTTCTCCATAGCAATCCTTTACAGTTATCCTTCATGGCTGTTTTGTAAATTTTGTAAAGTTGGAAACAAAAATCAAATATTTAACCCAAGTTGGCACATGATTCTGAAACAGTCATTATGAGAAAATAATGTTCAGAGGTTTGTGAAAGTTTTCCTCCAAAATAAGCAAGGTTTTCATGGAATGCTTACTTTTTCTGTCAAAACCACAAGTTATTTCTGTATGTTGTCATTG